GGGCACCTTTCCTGTCAAAATGGTATACAAAAAAGTAGCCATGGTAACAGGTTGGACCCCGGGGAGGGGGAGCCAGCTCCCCGTATAAAACTTTGTAGAGTATCCCTTCCCCACTACCTAGCGGCACTATACACAGATCTGGTGGGAGAAATGCGCGCACAAAGTCGCCAATATCTGTTTCCTTTAGGAGGTCTTACTTTTTGACAATCTTGTCAAAATTCTTTCTGATAAAATCCCAGGTAAGAAGCCGTCCATATATGTGAGATCCAACTCCTGAAATAGCATGCAACATGTCTTGTGTCCTGATCTTAGACTCGTCCAGTGAATATTCCAGAATCCTGAAATCAGTGACAAAAATGGAAGGAACATTAAATTGTCATCAGTCATTTCATATCCAATAGTTTTCATTCGAGCGTTAGAGTAACACTGGCCTCTCGGCTCTTTCCATCTAACATGAAAGGGGCTACATTCAGCGCTGAAGATGTCAGCCCTATCTCAGTGTTCAATTTATTCCTGCTCAAAACTGAGGCTTCGTTGACCACTAATATCCCTCGTACAAGGTAAAGAAGCTCGGTCACGGTATTTTGAATTATTTTGGCCACGCACAAAATTACCTTTGAATTGAGAGAAACCTGAAAACAGTAGTTTACTAAGATAGGAAAATACCAAAGAGATAATAATAAACCATAAAGGAGCAAGGATGGTTAAGGATCTAGAAGATAAACACGGATTGCAAACGACAAACTTCAAAAATTTAGGCTAAACTTTTCACGATGCACGAACCGTGACGTAGTAAGCGCTTTTTTAAAATTAACTACATAACCCTGTTTCACTCTTTCGATGAAATCCTTAGTGTTTGACCATATGCATTCAAGCGAAAGCTATTGCTCCATACTTTGATACTGTGGGGCTTGTTCACCGTTTACATGAAAAATTGGTAATATTTCTTGAACTTTTAAACTTGGACTCTCTTGGGAGTAAAATAGCCTGGGTTAAAATAAAAAGAATCATTAAATGTCACCTATTCAACAACCAAGGTTCCTTGGTGCCTGAGAGAGCGTACAATATCCTGGATTTCTCTGTTGGGTCAATGCTATCCTGGTATCTCTTCCACATAAACTCCCATTCTTCGATTCCACCGAACTTGATGGCGGTGTGGTACACAATGTCACGAATATGAGGAGAGATTGTAAGGCTGCAGGGAAAAGGTACGCTCACTAATAAATATTATCATTCGATGTATTTTTTTTTTATCCTTTTCATTGGCTGAGAGCCCACCACGTGACTTGCAAATAACTGCCTACAAATAATGGTCTGCTCATGCGTAATACCGTCTAAATGTGTTTAACCAGCTCCAAATAATATTCTGCTCAAGCGTTATTGTAATCACGCTCTCGTGCGAAAAATGGCAGATCGCTCTCCGTGAACGGTCTGAGAGTGATTTAATATGAAAACAAACTTTGTGGTCAAACAGTTATTGAACTCGGCTGTCGCAAAATATCGTGATTTGTCGGTGTGTCGCAGCTCGATTATTTGCCGAAGCCGAAGGCTAAGGCGAATCATTGATCTACAAGTCATTGACAAAGCACGATATTTTGCTCAACCGCTTCCAATAACTGATAATTTTTTACTCTTACAGCTAAGTATGGTAAATTATTACATGGAAGCGAGAAGAATCGGAAGTTCTTCAATACACGAGAACTGTTTTCCGCTATAATGCTATCTACTAATGGCAAAAGTGACTAAACAGCTGGAAATTTGATCAGAATCGAGGAATACTTGACGCTGACTACCCGCCTATCAAACAGACTAATGGTTGTAGGGACGAGAGAGAGTGACTGCAAATCTAAAACATGATAACATAGAAGTTGGTTGTTTGCAATAATTAACCTTTGATTTTTCATCCATATTCTGAATCCGGTCAAACTGTAATTCACTGCATGCTCATCTCCATGGCTGGCCAGCGTTGACAGCACGTTGTTTCGGAGATACCTAAAATCAATCGGTGAAGAAACGGTCTTATTTTGAAATGAGAACGCTGACCTATTGGGGAATCTTTGATTTTGTTTACAATATTTGCCTTATTATAGCATAAGCGATACAGTGTCTAATCAAACTACAGAAATATCAGCACTGAATATTGACATGGCATGGCACAATTGCTGCCCTAGGAATCTGAGCCCAATGCATTGAATACTTTTTGTGCGACGCGGGATTAAAAACTCAACATTTTATAAAGATTGTATCAGCTCATAAGCGCTTTTTCCACCCAGAACTTGTGCAGTTCTTGATAGCCAATTTCTTCTTGAATATTAAACCAAAGAGCCAAAAATTTCACCAGTTACTAAATTTCACAAGCTCTTTAAATTTGTGTAATCGATTTGTGCCTTCTCTGAGCAAACGTCGTAAGTTAATGGAGAAAAATGTAAACAATGACGTCGGCAAAGATTAGCCCCCTTCAATAAAGGTAAAGAGCTCTCAAAGCAATTAATAAGATTTATTCATGCGAGAGAACCAGGTTTGAAGGTGTTCTGTGGAAAGAAGCTTCTAAATGTCAATTAAATTCTTCATGACTTAGGAACCAAATTTCCATTTAGGAATTTTCTCAAATGTGGAAAATTTCGATCATCTAAAACATACTCACCATTATGACGGTCCTCCTATATAAAACCGGAGAATTTTTCATTCGTTTTTCATTTGACATTTCATTCTGTCACATTTTTTGACGTATTTTAATGAAGCTGACAAATGACTTACATCTTGAGGATGTCGCCCTCGCTTTCCCATCCAACATATTTTTCAAGTGGCTTCACTTTCTTTACGATGTAATTCTGAGCACAGAAAAATTGTAAGTAAAAGTTAATTACGCTAGACTTTTTGCGAGATGTGACATCATATAATAAAATAAAACTAAAACAAAAGGAAAATAAAAAAGTATTGATTAAAGAGAGAGACGAAACCTGCGCGCACAAAATATTGACGCACGCGGGATCTCGCGCGGACCTTTGTCCCACTGCTTGCAGTCTCATGGGCCAGTACGCTATTCAAGAACTAATTTAATACTGGAGAGTGCAGAACTAGAGGCACTTTGAAGGACTCATTAGGACTCAGTGCAAATTCTGCGTCATTAACCTATCACAGTTCATCAGGTCTGAGCGAGTCAGATTCATCTTCGACTTTGCCGTTGTTTGCTAATGCCTCGTTATTACAATATATTTAACCTATACTTACTCGGTAATACCCGTACGATGGGCGCATGCTCAACATTGAGCCAATGAAACCCAAGTGACCGAGAGCAGAGGACCATGGGACGTATTCCCTTTCTTTATCCAAGTAATTTGTCAGACCCAATGCAGTTGACATGTCAAGTTGACCCGCCCTGAGTACAAACACAAACAGCTTACAAATTAATATCAGTGTTGGCTAACAGGAAGACACTTGGCACTGACTCGCAAACTCCGGTTAAATGTTTATCCTAGTTTGTTATTAGTGGCATGGTCTACTAACCTGAGTTATGACTGTTTTGCGCCATTTTTGTCAAGATTAGCTTTACATGTGGCTAGCTCTATGACACCTTTGACTTTGATCCTACTAACTCATATAAATAGCGTCTCTCAGGAAACTCTATCTTCTAGAAACTGCACGAGTGAGACAATATCATGCTCTCGTCTAGTCTGCCCACAGACCCTCGATTTTGTCTTCAGTTCGTCGAGATCACAGGCTTAGCGAAATACTAACCTGTCGTGTGGGATACACGCGCTAAAACGCACGGAGTTCACTTTTCATACCTTGCTAAATTAAAAGCATCATCAATCAGCCCACTCCTGTCCACAGCTGCTAAAACCTAAAGAAGAATAATTCAATCGAACAAGTTTAGCCAATGGTAAATTTGTTTATTAGCCTTATCAAAGATGCATTCAGTGTTGTGTTAAAGACAATCTGAAACCCCTTCGTGCTTTGAACTTGACCTTTGTGACTTCTAATTTCGCCGTTCTGTTCCTGTTACGAAGTAATTCTAGTTTAAGAAACCTAATTTTGTGTTGGTATGTTTTCCGCCCGATGAGCTGAGGCCATATAAAATGGACGAGGGTGCTCGTCTTTTCTATTAGGGGTTAAAAAAGAGGTTTTAGGGTGTTCAGTCTCAAAAGGTCCACAGCAGGAGCTTTCGCAGTGCCTTACAGAGTATAATGAAACAGCTTATTTTTGCCGGGATAGAGATTTATGACAATGGTATTTGAAGCAATCATCTTTATTGCTTTTAAAAATTATGAAAGTGTCTGATAATGTGTTGTTTTAGAATTGGCACCACTAAGGGCTAAAAAAAATTTCAAGCCACGCCCACAAAACAGGATCTTTGTACCTTTGCTATTTTTCAAAATTTGCGACGAGCACCCCATCCTTTTTATGTGGAAGTCCCCCCCCGGGAGCCGAGCTTCTTTCAAGTAATCAAAAGAGTCTAGAAAATAAAGCTTGCAAAAGACCTAGCAATGAATAAAGTAACAACAACAAGTCTTGCCTTGTGGTTTTTATGGAGTTGCTTTGCAAGTTGGTCCCAGTTGTTTTTGTTGTAGTTCACACGGTAAAATCCTGTCTGACCGACGTTTGCCTTGATCCATTTGTAATGGTTACCAACGGAGGGAAGATGAACTATAAAATGAACTGGAAATTGTTAGAGTTCGGATTCACGGTATGTCTATTCCCACAGGGCACCCTTTACTCAGAAGGCATAAGGAACAGAACGAGATTGAAATAAAAGATGGAATTCTGTTATGAAAGAACAAAAATTGATCTGTGCAAACGTTAACTTGAAAACTAATTCTCTAAACTGGATTCCTAGCGAAACGTTTCACGTTTTTTGTTTATTTGAAGGATAACTATAGTAAAAACTCTTTTAATTGTAATAACTTAGAGCGGTTTTCAACTGAGTGTCGAAAGTAATCAGGTAATTACTGTGGTTTTGGTTTTGCTACGGTTTGAGATTGGCTGAGTAATCTAATTGGTTTTGGTTTTGCGGCAATGACTAAATTGAAAACCGCTTTAGTATTTAATTAAATATCTTTCTTGGCTCTTTAAACATATAACATAGTTGTAAAGTAAGCTGAAGTGAAGTAATTTCTTACCCACAGTAGGTTAGAAATTTCTCATTTCTTTGTAACCAGACCGTTTTAAAGTCTTTCTCATATGGTAAGTTAACTGTTCATTAAGTCAAGAGATCATAGTCTCTTGCATGTTAAGTGGATACATGATGGGAAACTTTCTGGAATTATTTACACAGGATATAACATGAACAAGTTTCATGTTCAAGATCAGTCCATTTCACTCACCGCTATCTTTCTTTATCCACACTGTGTGTTTTTTGTGAGGGCTGCGTGACGTCACATATGTCAGTGGTATGTGCCAGTGGTAACTGCAAAAGCGTGGAATGAGATATAAGGTAGACTGCTGGCAGTCTGGCTTTCTCTCGAAATTCAGCAGGGAGACTCTTTAGCCCGAAGGAGAATGGGACGAGACTTGGGTGCAGCACGCCCTTTAACGTTCGCGATGGCTTAACACTCGTGTAAGTCACCCTAAGAGAAAAGACCAGCTGCCAACAGTCTAGACATAAGGCTGTATCTGCATTTTTTTTTTTTTTTGTTTTAATTGCGTGAAGTACGGCCGTCGACGCTCGACTAACGGCTACCTTCCCACACGTATAAAATCTTCCGTCTACATCAGCTTAGTTTTGTCGTCTCAACTGATGGTCAATCCAAACACTACTCTGATCTTCTCGAAACCACTTCCTACAACGGCCCTTTCTCTCCAACCACCAGTAAAGTGGTGCTCCCGTTTCTAGGGTGGCCGTTATAGAGAGATTAAACTGTACATGTATTTGCATGATGTAGCTCTGAATTGGCTGTATATCGAGACTAGTCTTAAGTGTTGATGTTTTTCTCCTTACCTATCTGCTTCTCAAAGTACTGTTAACATAACAAGAAAATCAGTTTCCAATCTTTAACTTACCCTTTGGCCTCGTCGTCAAACTGCTTTGTCCCCTGAGGAATGTCTCTCAGGAATCGTTTCTGTCTTGCAACCAATTTCTTGGAGCCTCTCTGGGTGTCTCTGGCTTGGAGCTTGTTTTCATCAATGAACACCACAGGGTATCCCTTCTGCTTAATCCACGTGTCCATAATGGCCTTTACGTCAAGATCTTTGCACGTCTAGGTGAAATAAAATGATCAATTTGATGCAAAACGAAGTTCTGCTCGAAGTAAAATATCAAACACGAAAGACCGTGTTTGATCACATTTCCGAACACCGAGAAGAGAGTTGAAAATACGACGCGTTGCGGAGTATTTTTGACGAAAGTCGAGTTGTTTTGAAATGTGATCAAACACTGTCTTTAGTGTTTGATATATTTTCTCGATCGAAACTAAAACTAAGGACAAAACGGAGAAACGAACTCGTAAAAATCTATGCTATTTAAGATCAGATATCCAAACACTATCACGATCATGGTTTCCTTTGTGTAAACTTGATGAATTTTGAGAAAAATGCTTCGTTCATGTATAACGTTATCGAAAGTAAAACCTAGAAATCGAAAATAGAAAGTCAGTCTCTGATCCACTTTCTGCAAGTCCGGTGCTCAACTTTTACCTTCTGTATCGAGTTTGTTTGATTCGTGTTGTTTCACCTTTTTTAGTAAAACGTCACAGAACAAGTTGTATATCAATAAGATTGCACCCATTGTGTAATTAACTGGACTGATTCTAACTCAGTTTCTACTCTAAATGCCTTCAAAGGTTGCCATATTCTACGTTATGTATCTTAACACTCATGGGTAGAGATTTTGTGTTTGTGAATACTAATTGAATTGAGATCTCCAAGCACGGCCAAATAATTTTAAGTCTAACTTCTCAATAAACAACGTTTTCTCGTAGAAACAAACGTCAAAATAACTTTTTAACATCGGAAGAGAAAAGCTCGCAAGAAACGATGATGACTCAAAATAAAACAGGAGTGGCTGAGATTAAATAGACTCAGGCGAAACAATTAGACTTTGAGCTTTAAAAATATTTGAGCATAAGAGTTATATATTTCATGGTTAGAAGACTGTGGCGACGTCCCTTTGAAATCGTTGCTCTCTATTACTTACCTTACTTAAGGCTTTCCATAAGTCATCAGCAGCCGCGTTTGCGTATTTGTGGCTATTAAGGTAGAGCTGAAAATGGATGACATCGGTGTTGTGAGATTGGAGATAAAGGATGTGAAGGTGAATTAACTAAGACTTACATTACTTGCAAAAAAAATCGGACGTTAAAATTTCGCACGTTTTATTTCGAACGTTTAATTTTCGGACACTTTTTATCTCACTTCGGACAAATATCGGACAAAATGTCGGACACTTTGCTGAAACATAGCTCCCGATATATTTGCGCTTACAAAACGCGTTTTAGACTGGAACACCTGTGAAAATGATGGTGTTATATACTGCACCCTCAAGGTTTACAGATACACCGATGAGAAAATAATACAAATTCTATCAAGCCATTATATATCTCAAGCAGTGTTTCAGTACGAGTTCGCTTCATAAAGGAAACTTGCGGCTTTGAAGCTGTTCAAAAGTTTTAAACTGTATTGTAAATATTTCGGACGCTTAAAATTTCGGACGTATAAATTACAAATTTCGGACCGTTTTATTTTCGGACACATTTTTTGTCCGAAATTAAAATCGTCCGAGATTTTTTGCAAGTAATGTACACACTATACCTCTAATCCTTTCTGAAATTTCTTGTCTCCAATGAAGCTTCTAAGCATACGGATTATTGATGAACCCTTCAGAGGAGAAAGACACAATTAAGTTATAGTGAAAATCATGTAGTAACTGGAGATAAGGCGAAGAGAGGCCGCGCGCGAGAAATCTACTAGCTCCCTGTCTCTTTCAATGTATATGATTACTGCTTAGCGATCTATCGATAGAAAGAACATTCAAGATCTTTTTTGCTTCAGACCCAAATTGAGACATGGATGAATCCCACGGATAGTTCCCGTAAAACGTTTGTTAAGCAAACTGAAATATCGAGCAAATTTGAAAGTATGTTGTATCTCGTATTGACTGTTTATCGTTAGCTCGTCTCGGGTTTTCTTCTCCTTACCGCAGGAAACAGTTTGCTTTGATAGCAAGTTATAAGATGATCTACAAAAGATCTCTTGCTTCTCATAGGTGGGTAGCTGTGATACCTTAATTATTTTAGTTTTGACATTTAGTTTTTTCACTCTTGGTATCTGCAGTTTCTCACTTTTCTATACATGTTTTGACAGGTTAAATCAGTACCATAAAAGAAAGGGAGTTCGACTGATGAGGGTTTACATAAGCCAGCAGGTTGTAATTTCAACCCGTCACAAAAGAGTACTAGCGTTGAAGCTTTTGCCCTTCCCCTTTAAAATTACCCTTCTCCCCTCCTCCCCTCCGCCCCACCCCCCTTCCACTTTTTCATTTCGTTTTAGTGTTTGGAATGTGGTGAAACAATGTCTCTCGTCTTTGATATTTTAGCATGATCAACCCTTCTTACAAGCGCATCTCTTTCTCTTTAGAAATTCAAGGCGTCATTCTGAATGCATCCCGTTTACTTCTGAACGTTGGTGGCAAATTTGTTATAAGCTGCACTGTGATTGGTGGGCCGGACGACCTGAACATCACGTGGTTTAAAGCGGGTAAAGAGATTGGTCTGAGCCACCGCACAAAAGTCGAGACGCGAGTTCGTCGTTCACGATTGAGCGTGAGAGACGTGATGGCGGAAGACGAGGGCGCCTATATCTGTCAAGCAAAGTACGCTAACAGAAGTTTTCAAAATCGAGAGTGGTTCATCACATTTCCAAACCCCTTAAATTTCATTACAGTGCTTCGCGACGCACGCGCTGTAACTCTAACTACAGTTCGAGACAAAAGTCCCTGGGACATCTTAACTAGATCGAATGAAAACGAGTTACCTTGTGCCTCTGTTTCAAAACGACTCAGAACCTTTTATATGAAAATGAATTTAATTTGCATCAAAATGAACCTGAAGGCAGAACACATTTGTTCACTGATATGAATGGTTTCGCACCAAGACTCGTTTTCGCACAGAGGCACAAGGCAACTCGGAAATGGCCTATTACAGGAGGCGGAACACAATTTCCGTCAAATACAAACTTATTCCTATTATTATTAACGCTATTTTTAAATATTTGTCTAATAATGTTTTAGCACAGGATCTTACCTTATCGTAAGAGATGCTGTCGAAAATTTCTGTGATCTGAGAAGGATTTTTGACCGGCACTGATATCGGATGAGTGTTGGCCATGCTGTCAGCGGACAGTGCCGTCTGTAATGTGTGAGCCACGAACTGCTCAAGCTGGGAACGACAAAAAAGAGCAAACTGTTACTAACAAGTTATCTTTGGACAAGATACTAGCGTAAGGTAGCTCGAGGAAAACTATGAACAGATAACGTCCAAGGACAAATATGCAAGAATATTTTCATGCCAAATGGGGGCTTATTGTGTTTATTATCCTTCAAATATTTTTCGCAACCGCGCTGTTTTGAAAATTGGGAATATCTTCGGATATTTCCCAGTTTTAGCTGTGGAATATTCGTTCACGTGACGCGTTTAGACCATCAAATATTTTTCGTCCACGCCAAATTTTAAAACTTAGCACTCACCGGTCATTTTGGATTTACGTTTGAGTAAAACTCTGTCAGGAAAATCACATGATTATCGTGACTACAGTGTTTCCGAAAAACTCGGTTTTCAAAATGTTTTCCGTTCACACGGGTTGAAGAGCGTTTTCGTAAAGCTCCGTTATCGCGACGGATTATTGTGGACGGTAGGCCTAACCGGAGAAATTAAATAAAGCTACGTTTTGAAATTTCTCCGGCGAGTGTGGACGGCGCCCGGGACAAGGCCAAAGCCTCCGTCCACATTTTACAAAAACGTGGAATCGGAATTTTTTTTTTCTTTTTTTTTTCTTTTTTTTTCATTTCGATTTGGACTGATTGTTGCCTTCACCTGATTGAATCTACATGTACATATTTAAGCTTATAGATACACTAAATAAATTCAGATCAGCTGGCGAAATTAGTAAGTAAGAATAATAGTAATAGTAATAATAATAATAGTAATAATAATAATAGCTTATGCCACTGTCAGGAATTCCAACTGAACGAACTTACCACTCGCCAGTCCTTCCGGAAGTGATCAGTACCAATGTATTCCACATAGTTAGCAAAGCCTTCATTAAGCCACAGATCATTCCACCACTTCATAGTGACCAGGTTACCAAACCACTGGTGCGCAAGTTCGTGAGACACCACTATGGCCACATCCTGCTTGTCAGCGGCGCTAGAGGAGGCCGGGTCACTCAGCATGTAGGTCTCGCGGAATGTGAGTACTCCCCAGTTCTCCATGGCTCCAGCGGCAAAATCAGGCACAGCGACCAGGTCTGGAGAAATGATCAATAAAAAGAAACGTGGAGCACAAATTTTCAGATTTAAAGGCGCGACTAAATTATGTTTAAAGTGAATATATGCACGATCATATATTTCAACTGCGGAGAAACATGTCAAGACATAATTGATCATCGCAGTTATATACACCACTTGAACAGCGGTAAAATTAAAGCCTGAAAAGCGATTCGAACTCATGACCTCTGTGACACCGGTGCAGTGCTCTACCAACTGAGCTATCAAGTCAACTGGATTGGTCAGCTGGTCACGTGGTGAGATCGTAATATACCCGAAATGGTGAAGATACAAGTGAATCCCGTTCAAGCCTGAATTATTTTTTTCGGGCTCTAATTTCACAGTTGCTTAATGTATAACTGCGATGATCAATCATGTCTTCATAAATTATTTTAACTTACCCATCTTGGGAAGTGGGTACGGTATGTTGAAGAATTTTTCGTAATAATTCAAAACATTTTCTGCCACGCTCAAGGCCAGGCTTGTGCTTTCAACTGCGTCCTTCCTGGACCAAACTCGAATCTGGAAGAAATGGTACAGAAAATGATTCAAATTAAAGGTGCCTTTTGACTAGAAGCTTGGCCAACATAACTCTTTGAATCACCGACGAAGGTGCAGATTGACAGGTTTTTGAATCCATTTTGGTATAAACAACCTTTGTGGAGAAAACAAGATTTTTATATATCGTCTGTGTCACGACAGCTAGCCGATGCTATGGAATCTTCGTGATACATCCGAAGAGTTTCTGATTCTTTCTAACCAGTCACATAATTTTGCGAGCACTTGTAAACACACGGAAAAGTCTCAAGACGGCTTTTACCTACGCGTCTTTGACACTTAGCAAGCTATCTACGGCCGGAGAACCACAGGCTCAGAAAGTATTCCAAACAGAGAAAACGAGAGGTTCATTAAATCCTTTTTCTTTTCTTGATCCCCAGCCATAACAACAGACTTACTACGATTATATCAGTTGAGAAATGCGCGACGGAGCTTCGGTGACGAAGTTTTGGCCTTAAAATTACGGTGTTGCGACGGGCGACTTTACTCGTTTCCGATGGGATCGTCGCCTACAATTTCGCGTTTTGCCGCAAGTGACGTCAAAGGCGGACAAGTTGCCACTGGAAACGGAGCCAGTTGCCCTTGACAACAACACAATTTGAAGTTGAAACCTGGTCACCAAACCACCATCGCACCTTACGCAACTGATAATCGTAGAACAGTACTACGCGAACAAAAATGCATGAAGGCAACGTAGCATACATACCTTCTTTCCGCTTTTCGTGTGAGACTCCTTGTAAGCAAAGTCACACACAATAAAAGCCAGTAGATATGTGCTCATCTTGAGACTCTCTTCGAAGTGGCTCTCCACGAAGCCGTCATCAGGACGAGTCACGACCCGCTCCACCGGCATGTTGGAGAGAGCTTTGTACTCCTTCTGGTGCACCAAGGTCACAATAAACTTCGATTTAAACTCAGGTTCGTCGAAACAAGGGAACGCAGCTCGGGCATCTGTGGCTTCAAACTGTGTTGTTGCCATGTACCTTTAAAAAGTCATTAAATTAATTATAATTATAATTTACTGTTTTTAAGTGGTTATACTCGCGATTCAAACGCTTGTACCAACATCAACAAGCATTACGAGGGAACTATTTTAAGTTACGAGGGGTTCACGTTTGGGTCACGCACGCGAGCGACGAATCCCCAAGAGAGACCGAGTCGGTGAGCGAAGTGAGCCGGAAAGACACGAGGAAGCTTCGCCAGTCGCGCGTGTGATCCAAACTTGGCCCTACAGGCAGGATATTTATAGTTTATATTAGTCAGAAAGTTTGAGCCGCGGAGTATTTTGGAACATTTGATCTCATGTTTGAGCCCACTGCCTAGGGAGAACGGCAATATTGGTCTCTTTCTGAGGATTTATTCACGACTTCTGGCGCACATCCTTGACATGCGAGCCCTCAGGAGTACGGTCAAGGACCGGGGGAGATAAGTAAATGGAAATCTACTTCTGACATTTTACTATACATAACCTAAGCCTAGGTAATTTTGTTTTTGCAGATAATAAGTATCTAAAACAAAGTGTTAAACACAGACATGATCACTAACCCTGAAAACAAGCACTAAACGAAAAAAATACACCTGATTGGCTACCATGAATTTCTTCTAAAGATAATTAGGGAGAAACTCATTTAAGATCAAGAAAAGCTGATTTAGCGATTAATTTATTTATTCTTATAACCTAACTATTGATTTTGTGCTCACTTTTGAGGAAATTTAGATCTTGATCAGTGTTATCAGTGTTGGGTTACGGGTTAAGAAACGTTTACCTTATTTCTCCACTCTTTGTCTTGTATGAACTCTTGTAAAAGCCCGTCATTGTATTTGACAGATGGCCATTAAACTGAAACTTTACCGTATATTTTTCTCCCTGTGTTAGTTCATCTCTCAGCTCAACCAAATATTGCTCCAGTTTCTTGCTCTCTGCTACTCGCAAAACAGGAAGGTGATTTCCCTTGGAGTCCTCGATACCGTAACTTGTGATGTTTAAGTGTTTAACATGAAGGAGGACATTTCTCGTTGGCTTCTCGACGGTGACATCAATCTTAACTCCTCCGTGGAAATCAAAGGTCGTTAAGTTTGGATGAAGGTAAACTTGGTATCTCTCTGGTTTGATATCCTTGGGTAGCAAAATATTCTTGCGGGGGAAGTTCTTCTCGCTGTCTGCCGAACGGGTGAATCGATCCCTTGTGATGTAGTCAACCGCGCGACGGTAGAATTCAATTTCGCTGTCAGAGGCGTGGACAAATGCGGAGAAAATGAAGAGGACAATTGCTCCGAGGGCGATAGTTAGTGTTAAAAAGATCGCACACAGCTTGCCATTACACATTCTGCTTCCCTGGTAGCTGACGCGGGACTTTGAGTTAGAAGACAATGATTCGCTGCCATCTTCAACCGGCGCCGCCCTGTAACCTCGCTCGCGCATTGCGAATTCAATTTATTTTCAAGCTGTTACGATCTTTGCTTTTCCAGGTAACTTTTTCACGTTTACTCCCGTCTTGGTCCTTAGAACGACCCTGCTTATGGGTTCTGTGGTTAGAAAACAGTATTTATACTAATAAGATCATGCTGTTATTTTAAGAGTTGGGTTTGAAATATTTACAAAGATTCTCAAACAGCCATAGTGATGCAAGCGAGGCTCTAACCAATAGGAACGTCATCCGACTGAAAGAGATCAAAACCCAGCGGTGAAATTAATCACTCATCTATGGATGGGTTGTGTTTTTTACTTACCTTTGGTAACAAATAATTTTCAGGTTATTCAGTTCTTTTGTTTCTGTTTTGATGATGGAGGAAAAAAAACGCCAAATCCCCTGAAGTGATTTGACAAGGTCAATACACTGAAATCAAACAAGTGGCAGGTTACTGCTGGTGGAGGTGTGACCGTTTCACGCTTCATTTCACAAAGCTCACTGATTACAACCGCTGGGAAAATGTACGCATACCTGAAAAAAACATTAGGCTGAACAGAAAACTGAACTAATCTTGCTTCCAGGGCTTTTGCTTCTATCGATCCTTGATCAGTGTGGCCACGAAGGCTCTGGGGACGAATTTGGGTGAAGTTACCGGTCAGCCATCGTTTCTTACAGCGCATGTCTGCGTTAGCAAGTCAAATATTCGCTAATCGAGTGAAGCGAAGACTGTATATGCGTTTTGAGTTGAGGGATGCTTTTGAGAAACATTCCGGCATTAATTTGCCTCTAATATAATCATTAAGTCGATACAAAACTACAAATACGTTAATGCTTATTCTTTAGAAACAAAGAAACAATTTTGAACGCTTACTTATAACATCAAAGAATATGAAATTTTCTTTCTAGTTTCCTTTAAGTTAAGGAAATTTCGTGTCAATATTTCTCACTTTTTCAAGCACGTCGACTCGAGTTACCAATTTCTATAAAAAATATGAAATAACATTTTCAAAGAATAACAAATAACATTTTCGAAACTTGCTTTCAAAGAATAAACCCGCTTTAGTTTCATTTTGAGAATCAAACCCTTTTTAATCTTTTTAATAAAGTTGCCACTTTACGCGGGAGAGGGTAAGAAACGCGACAAAATTCAACAATTTCTTTACTCTGTTTCGAGATCAATGGGAAAAATTTTACAAATGGCCACTTAGATTCATGCATACCTAAATTAAGTATCAACCAGAAAATTAGTTCAAGAATTACGTATGAAACCAGGACCGCAGCTAGCATAAGGTAAACCAAGGGACTTGCCTCTGTCATTTTTTTTTTTTTTTTTTTTTGTTGGTTTTCTAAATATCTATGAAGAGAATTAAACCATGGACTTTGTCTCAGCCATGATTTTTATTCTGGCTATGGTCCTGATTATCACATTAGGCTCCTTCAAACATTTGAGACCTAGTTTTTTCTCTCAGTCTGCTGAGACATGACCTGTTAATTAACTGAAACACCTGTTGCTCAAGCTCGACGCACGGCTGACAAACTTCAAAACAAATTTATCAACAGGATATTGGACTGCTCTCTTTTCATGGCGGTCTCCCGACTCTGTCCTCTCGCGTTCGCGTTTAGCGTCGCCATAATCATCGCCGTTTCCACCGTTTACACGTTTATCAGTGGCTACAGCGAAGATCTGGTTTTTAAATTGAAACGAAGTCGAGGACATTCAAAAAGACAGTCGAGACTCGACAAGAAAATGGCATTCCCGTATCAAAATATTCGTATTCCAAATCATGTTCGTCCATTGTCTTACGACATTTACATTCACCCAAATTTAACGACCTTTAAGTTTTATGGCAGGGTTATAATCGAATTACGGTGCTACCAACCCACGAGGAACGTAATATTTCATGTGCGTGACCTTCGTGTTGCAAATGTAAAGCTCACGGATTCAAGACAAAAACGTTTGAAAATCGCGCGAACAGTGCAATACAAGAAAAACCAACAACATTTGATTGCTGTGAATGAAGAGCTCAGAGAAAAGGAAAGATATGCACTTTATATGGAATTTAATGGAACGTTATCTAAAAACATGGAGGGATTTTACAGAAGCAGCTACAAGACAAAGACAGGACAAGCCAGGTTAGAGTTAGCAAGTTAATCCAGTAACCATCTTTGATTTTTAAT